AAACAAAAGTATCAGCACTAGTACATAGTTTTTTTCTTTTAAAAGGTATTATTTCAAATCCTCTTTTGGTATTTCCTCTATAGCCTAAAAAATACACCCTTTATCAATTTCCAGATTTGCTATCTTATGCTGAACCTTTTGAAACAGCCTCTACAGAATACTTCTTTACAAAGAATTAGTCTCTCCAGCCTATGAAAGAAGACCACTTCTCATCCTGCACCCCTCCCCCATGGTGAATAAAATAATAAAAACATGTCACTTTACCTGTACCACAGCTGTGTAATTGCTCTGAGAGAACTCTGGTGGGTTGTCATTGGCATCGCCCACCTCCACAATGACCACTACATTAGTGGACAGGGGTGGACTGCCCTGGTCAGTGGCGGTCACTTCAAGACTGTACTTGGGAATCTGAAGAGGTGAGATTTAATATGACATATTTATAATACTGCCTTCATATCAGACCACTAGGTGGCAGCACCAAACAGTGACAATCCAGATAAGCGCAGCTACAGTAATGAAGTTCCAAAACTGATAATTATTCAAGTACATTGCACAATTTACTTATTAATTCAATCTTGCCATTAAATGTAAGCTATAAGTGTGATATCAACATTTCGCAGGAGAAAATCAGTTAGAACTTCAAGACAAAAATTCATTCACAACCTGAATATAACACTATAGTAATTACCATTTCTCTATCTAGAGCCTCCTGAACCTTTATTTCTCCTGTCTTGGGGTTAATTTTAAACTGAGCCAGTTTGTCCCCCTTGGTGATGGCATAGGTGATGGCAGCATTCTCGCCACTGTCTCGGTCATCAGCCTGCACCTGAATACAGCAAGAAGAAGTGTCACTATGAGGCTGAACAGATGGTGGGGGTGTTATTCTGTGGTCTGCTATGCTTGTGTGTCACAGATGTGACAGAATTATTGTCAGCTGTGACAGTGTGTTGATTGTGTTGGGTGTAGGTATGCTGATTGTGTCAGTTGTGATAGTGTGTTGATTGTGTTGGGTGTAGGTATGCTGATTGTGTCAGTTGTGACAGTGTGTTGATTGTGTTAAGTGTGACAGAGTGCTGATTGCGCTAGTTGTGCCATTCCTATATTTACCTGTATAACACTATATCCCACATCGACATCTTCCCTCAGAGACACACTGAACACTGCCTCACTGAAGATAGGAGCGTTGTCATTGTAATCTGTCACGTTTATCCTGACGACCGCCTGGTCACTCAGAGGAATCTGGCCGTGATCTCTGGCCTCAACGGTCAGCACATACTCCTTGACCAGCTCATAGTTCAGCAGCTTTCGAACTGTGATTTCACCTGAATAATAAATTACAAAATAATTATAACTATTCAATATTTTCAGTGAATATCTTTATCTCTCTTTAAATGATACCTATAAGGATATTTTTTTATTAAACAGACTTATTAACCCAAGGCATTTCTGAATACCTTCCCAGAACATTTCAAGACTTAATAAGAATAGTGAGATGGAAGAAAACAACGGAGCTGAATAACTTTTTCAAGTCTGTTTTTGGAACATTTCACACACTATCCAGCAATTTTCAAACTCTATTCCTCTCAGAGCAATGACACCATTCAAAATTCCTCAAACTTTATACAAGACTTAAGATAATCACCCCAAACCCCTTCTCACCTGTCTCTGCGTCAATGGCAAATACACCTTGGTTGTTCCCGCCCACAATGGAGTAAGCAATCCTGGCGTTTTCTCCGATGTCCTTGCTAGTGGCCTTCACAGTGGTCACCACACTGGTCAGCTGCTTGTCCTCACGCACACTCACCGCGTACATGGACCGACTAAACACTGGAGGGTTGTCGTTGATGTCCGTCACGCTGACCAGTAGCTGCGCGGAGGAAGTCAAGCTGGGAGTACCCTGGACGGTGTGAAGTTAAAATTTATGATTTGTTTTCTTTTATTATTTAATGTATGTATTTATCTTCTGAGCCTGAATAATACTGACTTGAAGTAAAAATTGTTTTACTGTAAACTTCACTTATTCAAAACAAGGCTACAACTCATTTGTTATTTCAATAAGAAATGTTTGGGACAAATAATTTTCATGTTTCATTTCATCTTTAGTAACCAGATACTATTCAAACATGATTCCTCACCTTATCATAGGCATACACTGTAACATTATAGAAGGCCTTGGTCTCCCTGTCCAGTGAACTGTTCAAACTTATCACTCCGCTGTCAGGGTTGATTCTGAACGGGATCTTGGACTCCAACATCAGGTAGTGTACCTTACGATTTAAACCTGGGAAAGAGGGACACAAGTGTTGAATATCAAGTCTTTGTAAAAACTTTTGTATTCTTTCAATGACATTATATACTTATTATCATTACTTTTATGTGTTTCCTTTTTTCAAAGAGAACATGAAGCTGAATCATTACATCACATTGTAAGCAGAAACAACGCAGATTGCATATAAAACCGCATTCTATTATCCACCATGCCAGAAGGAAATAAGCCCTGTTCAAGAGACTCCTCTCACCTATATCACTATCAATGGCAGACACTCGCGTTAGGAGGGTATTGGGTTCAGCATTCTCAGGGATGGCCACTGTGTATTCAGTTCTGTCAAACCTGGGTGGGTTGTCATTCACGTCAATGAGGGTGACATACAGCTCCGTGGTGCAGGACTTTCCCCCCTTGTCTACTGCCCTCACCATCAGCTGGTACTCTGCAGCCGTCTCCCTGTCCAGGGGGGCTACTGTAGTGATAATACCTACAAGAAGAGAGTCACCGATTTAAGATCCAACCCACAGTGAGCAAAGAAATCACTTACAAATACCTATCCATAACTTCTTGAGTAAAGGACATGTGATGACAAATTAATCAACAATCAGAGGTGAAAGCATTATGTCCTTGATGGAGGTAAATATCTAGCATTTTGTCAAATTATAATCAAGTCAACTTTTACATTTTTCACAGTATGCAGTTTCCAAGTTATTTTTTTTTTTTTCAAAAATGCCCTTACTGGAAAAAATCTCTCTTACATCAAACCTAAATGTGTAAATCCACAGATAAAAAACTCAATTCATCTAATCGTTAGTATGCATCCCTCTGACACTGACATCTGAAAGCACCTACTTACCTGTCTTTTCATTCATTTCAAACATGTATGCCCCAGCGCCCTCTAGACTATATTCTATCTGTGCATGTGACGTGCCCGGCTGGTCAGCATCTGTTGCCTGGATACGTCCCACAAAGCCACCGACCTCAAAGTCTTCTGGTTTCACCACCTGGTGTAGAGGCTGAGGAAAAAATAGGAACAATAATATAACACATCAATTTAAACTATGAGCTATCAATGGCACAAAGATTTAATATATCCAATGAAGTTGAGGATATTTTTATTGTATTCCCCTTTTTAAGCTGATTCTTATTAAGTATGCATCAAATTCAGAAAAGGTCAAATAGTTCATGACACATTATTAGAAAAAAAAACTGTATGACGACTCCATCAGTTAATAACACACAGTGTCATAGTCATCTGAAGCCATGTTCTCTTACCTGTCCACAGTCAGGCGTGTTGTCATTGGTGTCCAGTACAGTAATATCCACCTGACAGTGGGTGACAAACATGCCATCTGTGGCCGTCACCTGGAGACGATATTCTGATTTCTCCTCTCTATCCAGAGCTCTACGGACATACACCTGGCCTTGACGATCCACATTAAACTGGCCCAAGATGTCACCACTGGTAATATAATACACCACATCGATCCCAACTTCATCTTTATCTGATGTTGTCACGGTAACAATGGTCTGTCCAGGCAGGGCGTCCTCTTGAACAGTGCCCTGGTAGACATCTTTGCTGAAAATTGGCGGCTCATCGTTGATGTCCGTGACACGGATTCTGACAGTGGTGGTGTCATTGAGCTGTACATTAACACCCCTGTCCACGGCCACCACCTCTAGCTCATACTCCTCCATGGTCTCGCGGTCCAGTTCGGCCAAAGTACTGATCCACCCTGAGTGTGAGTCCAGGCTGAAGACACTGACCACCTTTTCCTGAGTGTCCTTACTGAAGCTGTAGATGAGGTCCGAGTTGGTTCCAGTGTCATTATCATAGGCCTTGATCTGGATGACCTTACTGCCTATATTGGCATTCTCGGGAATGCTGATACTGTAAGGCTTGGAGTCAAAATGGGGAGCGTTGTCATTTATATCTTGTAACTGCACCACGACCTCAGCGGTTGCCACCAGAGGGGGTGTGGTCTGGGACTCCACACGCACGTGCAGGGTGAACATTTTAGTGGTCTCATAATCCAGAGCCTCCTTCACAGAGATCCTCCCCTGCTCATCAATCTGAAACTTCTCCGGGTTGTTGGTCATCGGGCTCTGGCCAGGGATGATCTTGTAGACCAACGTTTGGTTTCCATCGGACTTGGCATTCACCATGGCAACCACCGTGCCGACAGGTTTGTCCTCTGTTATAAAGTACGGACCTGGCGGGGACTCCAGCTGTGGGGGAGTGTCCGAGGGGCCCATTACCAGGATTTCTATGGGGACCTCACTGACTGTGTTAGAGCCTCCTACTGACTTGGCTCTCATGAAGAACTGGAATACCTGGTTCACTGGAAGTGGAGGAAGAGAGAGACAAAGGTCAGAATGTGTTGACAGTCAGTGGATATAATTTAACACAGCAAATATAACAGTTACAATATTTTGTAAATTACGTATAAGACTGTAAATTATGTTCAACAGTATGGTAACAGAATGGTGTCTACGAAATGTTTTGATAAAATATTCTTCATTTTAAAACCATGATAAAATGCCGTTTTCAATTTAAAAACTTAATTTCATAAAAGTGTACCCTAGTCAACTTGTGCAGGCCAAACTGTTGTCTGTGTCTAACAAATATAGTATTTTGGCTAATAAATATAGTATTTGGCTAACAACAGTTACTTTATATAGTCAGTGGCTAACAAGTATAGTCAGTGGCTAACAAACAAAGTCAGTGGCTAACCTGAATCCCTTAAGCTTTTCTTTACTTTGACTACTCCAGTTTTACGGTGGACCTTGAAGAGGGAGGAGGCACTGGACCCGTCCACAATACTGTACTGGACCTCCCCAGTGATGTCTGCATCAGAGGCTTCAACCTGTAATACAAAGATACAATGTGTCAAATTGTGTAAATTGTTGAGGTAAAATATTGTAAAATCAAGTCTGAAGACTTCTTGTTATGGCATTCTGCAGTTGAATATACACATCTGTGATACAGAAACTTTATTCCTACTGAACACATGCAGCTAACAATTTTTTTTTTTTTGATACTGAAATCTTTTATATCCTTGAATTTCAACTTTAATACCACAAGAAGACTGGAAAACATACATAAATTGTCCACAGACTTACCAATAATTCACCCATTCCCATTCACACGCGCGCGCACACACAGAAATTATTTGTTTAAGCATTCAAATTATAAATCATTGTCAGTAATTGTCTCACCTTGATGACACTAGATTCCTCTGCGGCATCAGCAAACACATTAGCTTTATATTCCTGAGCAAAGAAGCTGGGTTTGTTGTCATCTGCATCTAACACCATGATTCTCACTGTTGTGAACCCCACACGTCCACCGTTGTCTACTGCCACAATGGGGAGATTGTACACTTGCTCAAACTCTCTATCCAGCAATTCCAAAGTTGAAATCTCACCTGAAATGAAACAATATTTTTAGAGTAAATTATTCCCAAGCCATCAAACATATCTCACTCAACTGGATTAACAAACACAATGAAGTTAACAAACATCTTCATGGCTGTGTCCTAATTCTTGGTTGCCAATATTTATGCACACCAAAGTGTAACTGACATTCTTTTATTCTTCATGCACACTGTTCTTCAACACTACATTATACTTTACCTGTTTTTGGATGCAAATCAAACAACTCCTTCAGTTTCTCACTCTTCAGGTGATAGGTTAACGCTCCATAGTAGCCACTGTCCAGGTCTTCGGCCGTTACAGTGGTCACAACGTGACCTATTGGGACATTCTCAGCCAACTCGACCACATACAGAGATTCTTGAAACACTGGAGGGTGGTTGTTGGAGTTTCTTACATCGATGGAAACCCTGGCAAAGTTTGTGAACACACCATCGGTGACGGAGATGTTGAGCATATAGAGAGACTGCAGCTCGGGCTGGCGGAGACTTGAGAGATAGATCATGCCATTGCTGCTGTCAATGGTGAATGCTCCTTTTTTGTCTCCAGAGACGATGGCGTACATGAGCTGCCCAGCGTCAGAGCTGTCACCATCTATAGCCGTGACCATGGTAACAAACTGGCCTCTTTTGGCCTGGTCTGAAATTGTGGCTGAGAAAGATTGTGGATCGAAGACTGGAGGGTTGTCGTTGAGATCTGTGACAGTGACGTAGACATGAGCAGTGGAGCTCAGAGCTGGGTAGCCACTGTCTACTGCCACAACAACAAAGTGCATTTTGGGATTGGTCTCATGGTCGAGGTACGTCTTGGTGGTGATCACCCCTCTACTTGGGTCAATGTCAAAGGCTGTCACGTGATCACTGGTATCTTCAGACGCTGCTTCTAGGTGGTATTTCAGCAAGTTATGGGGTGCCGTCTTGTCAGCATCGTAGGCCGACACGGCGAGGATTGATCTTCCAATGCTGACTGCTTCAGAGACAGAGACCACGTATACCAGACTGTCAAAAGAGGGCGCCTTGTCATTGACATCCTGAAAGAATTAGAACAAATTATTATGTTCATTTTACCTACTAATTACATGACAGTATTTCTAACAAGTATTTCTATGAAAATCGCTAATAAATGAACTGAATCAGAGAGCTGTGCTTCTTTCCACTTGTTATCTAGAAAGCTTTGACTTCAATAAACTGAGGCAGTGACTTTTTGTTTTCCATTCAGCCTCTAGGGGCGTATTCCCATAGATTTAAGATCGATCTATCCCCGTGGGGAGTCTCACTATATTACTGTCAGATAATCTGGCTTAAATGTCCGTCCCACCTACTACAAGCTGTAAGGGGGTAATTAACTTTCACGCCCGCTCAGCTGACAGCTATTTAGCATGAACCCCCAGGGAGATAGGTCAATCTAGTTTGGATCGATCTAATCTCTAGGAATGGGGTCTAGGACTAGGCTACTCACCACTACAGTGACTGCAACCAGTGCCTCAGCATAAGCTCCAGATAGGGTATCTGTAGCTCGCACAGTCAACTCGTAACCTTGGCGTAATTCTGCATCCAAATTGTCTATCAGGATGATGGCACCTATTGTAAATGAAACATTTGATAAATGGGTAACTTAACGCAGTGTCACAAGTACTGGTTATTTGTAGTTGGTTAATAATGAAATGCACTACAAATGGGGGCATGAGAACTAAAGTGCAAACCTTCTCCATTTAGTATAATATTAGTACAAAATAACGGTACCCCAAGATCTTTATTATTCAATTCTACTTCACAGTTAATTTTCCAAAACCAGGGTTTAATTAATAAATCAAACAATTCTAATACTAAGACTACTACTGTTCTAATAAAAAATAATGAACCTAATAGCAACAAAAACAAAAAAAAAAAAAAAATGAAAATTGTAATATTTGGCTAGAGAATTAGGTTTTTTAACACTTAAGAGCTTAAGTTTAACTTTGACACATATTATTGCTGGGGTATTTCTAAACATCTCAACATCTGACATATTCAAGAACAATGTATAAAATACATTATTTGGAAGAGATATATAACTTTTTTATTTTCATGTTAGTTATTATGTGTTTTGAATTAAAAGGAAATTGTGCAGTGCTGTTTATATAACATGCTGTAAGGTTTTGCAAAATTATTTTGAGTGACTGGTTATTACTTTGATTTTTTGTGCTCTTAATCTGTGACACTGTAATACCCCAACATAATATATATATATTGTTAAATAGCAGTGCATTCAGTTAGTGGTTAGAATTTTTAATCCCCAAGCACTGGTTAAACTTGGCAAACGCCCATTTTGAGACAGAATCAACAAGTGTGTATTTCTAGGACAAGAACACAGCAATTTCACCATTTTCCATCAAATAATTCTTAGCACTAATGTTCTCCAAATTTAACCAGGCTTGGGTTGATCCATCACATTATTAGTTCAGATAAGTTTTAATATATAATTGAATTGTAATTAAGATTCATTAATAGTGGGTGGATTAATGTCAATTATTAAAAAAAAAGACAAAAATGTGGAAAGAATTAGATATATATTGTAGTAAACCCAGCACCGCAGTATCAGAAGCAAAGCCAAAAGTCACCATCAGATAGCAGAAAGCAAAGACTCACTATTGTGAACTTAAGGGAAAACAGTGCAAAGCATGTTCTGTGTATTATAATAGGCAGGATGCCCCAGCACCCAAACTCTCTCTAACACCCTCTAAATGGTCAATATATGAACACCTTTAACCTGTATGCTACAAATTTAATATTAAGATCATGCTTTTATCCAAGTCACCTCACTGCCCCAGAAACTGTGTTTAAGTAAGTCGTGTCTTGGGTCTTTGGGTGTTAAAAATACGTCAAAGTAGTAGTGAGAAGACCTTGACTAAGAATTAATCCACCGTAACAGGAACCCTGACCCATAAAATATAAATGAAAAGTTGGGCAAGGCAATATTGAGGAGCAAAGTACAATACTCAAAGGTTTAAATATGCCCCTCCTAACCAACAGGAGCTTTCATATTCAAGAAGACGAAAAACTTAATAGAAAGCCACATTTAACAGCATGCAAAAAATAAAAAATAAATAACTTTATTGCAAAACGTATGCACATGCAAATATGTATGTACATGCAAGCAAATCATGCATTGCTCCATTTGTAGAAGCAGGTAATCAGCTCGGTAGATAGAAGCAGGTAATCAAAAGAAATAGCAGCCACAGCCACATAAATAGTTAACAGAAATAAAACAGGAAAGATATATTGGTAATATAGGCAAACATGGGAAAAATTGTTGAAATCAGAAAAAGGTTCAACAGCCTTACTCACATGGGCCTATGGTGTCCGCAGCTAATGAAGAGGAGGAGGAAGAGGGCACAAATAAGAAATCAATATCAAATTAACTACTAAAACAGGGGAGAACGGCTTACTTTGCAAATGATTGCTGCTCGGATAGTGGCGTAAAAAGACTTTTTCGACATTTTTTTTCTCTTCAAATGCATTTTTAGTGAGATTTCAAGAAACTGTTTACGCATGCTATAGGAATCCAAGGAGCCGCTTGTCCGAGAAGCAACATGATACTAAATTTCAAAAACATCTCTTCAAGAAAAATAAATAAATAGATGAGTACGGAAACACATGCTGTAGAGTTATTAATACAGACACTCTTGCTTTTTAAAAAAAAAACAATTTCAAAATATTAATAAAGAACAAAATACAAATTACAGCTATTTACAAATTCAACTGACATTTTGACATGCCTTTAAATAACAAATTACATTAAGGGGGAATGGCATTCAAAAGCTTTCTATTCCATTTCAAACATGCTTTACATTTAATGCAAGATATGCAATATTTGTAGATAAATTGCTGGCAAAACAATAGCAAAATTAAGATTTTTGTTAAGGTAGAAAAATTGGGGTTTCAATTAAGCTATTTGTTTTATCAAAGCGAATTTTCTCTGTTCACATACACGACCAAGTATATTTAAAATAAAATAACAAAAAAAGCTATAACCATATCAAATGTTATAAACTCCTTAATTGAAACCCATGGGGAAGAGCCTGAAATATTCTTATAGAGTTGGAATTAATTGTTATCCTTCTACCTCTACTATATAGAAATATTAGAGTAATCTCTCATCCCCTTGCACCATGCACTAGTATATGGTTTGTTATCAATCTCAACTTTCCAAGTCCATAATGATTAAAATGTGAAAAAATCTACAGAAGGCACACCTGGCATAGGTCCAGGTGGGCTTGATAATGTTGTCATTAAACATTAACCTGTTCCCTGCTGTGGCCAGGTAGTAAGTTGATAAGGTGTTTAAGTTAGCTGGGTAACTCATATAACTACATGCGGAGGAGATAACACTGGTAAAATGTACAGAATATTATGGGCAGCTGCTTCAAAATACGAATGTCTGCTCAAGACTGATGAAGCCATATTTTGAAAAAAGATATTTACAATTATGTGAAAACATTGATTTTGTGTACTCTCCCTAGATTTAAGCTCAATTAAATGAAGATAGTGTACGATGACTCAGCATTTAATTACGGTTGGCTTCTACCGTAGCTGTAATTACACATTCCCAATTCCCTTATGTGTGAAATAAAAAATCAATGCCAATTATGAATTCCATGAATGAACAAGAGACTGAGGAATGTGACAATTGGAAACATTAAAGATGAAGATAAATTGGAGAATAGGTAGAAATCTGACTCTTTCAAAAGTATGTATTGATTATCTTGTGGGTGAAATCTCTCTAAATCTTAACAATGTTTGTAAATCATTTTCTAATTGTTAGCAAACAATATCAACCCTACAAAATTGACAGCTAATTTAATTTATTTCAGTCCAACAAGCTACGACTCATACTAAAACTGAGTTAATTACACCCCTGATAAAACTACCTAAAGTCTATATTAGCCATCAGATGCAAAAATTTTGTGACACCCCCCCTTTTTTTCTTACGCCTAGTAAAAGTGTGCACAGCATTAGGTGCAGAATCATTAGTTGTGATTCATTAAGTGTCTTCTATAAGAGGTCTAACAAAAGACATCCCCCCCAGGTTGCCATTAAAGTCATTAGATTAACTCTCTTCATATTTCTAGGAATACTGGCTATACCCAGATTATACCGAATTCTAGGCTATTGACATCAATTGTGAGTTATGTGTGCATATTAAATAGCAGTGTCATGTTACAATGACAGTGTGACAGTGTAATTGTGATCAATACTTACCAATACTAAAGTTGACAGCAAACTCGTCGTAGATATTGCCCTTGGTGATAGAATAGATCAGCTTCTGGTTGTTGGGGCTCTTAGCTTCCAGAGTGAAGATGACGCTGTTTACTGGGGTGTTCTCACGTACAGAGACTGAGTAAAATGTGTCATCAAATACGGGCGTGGCCTGACTGATCACGCGGATGGGGACAACTACACGGGACCTCAGTTGGACATCTTCTCCTATGGAGTTGACAAAATATGTTATTATCTAGTGACATACACTCTTAGAATAGAAATGAAAGTGGTTCTTATAGAAAAAATCCTGAAAATGCGATGCCCTAGGCCTGCAACTGAATCTGAGTCCAAGCGACTATGTACAGCATCCAAAGATTTGGATTTTCAGATAGATCCAGAACATTTCCAACTTTCTTTCTGAAGCACTGGTGATAATAATTCTTATCTCGTTTTATGAAGCAATTTTCTTTGTAATTCTAATTACAGCATTTATTTTTAATCTGAAAATACTTTTAAAATGGAATTGCACTACAGATAACTTTAAGTAAAAACAAAAATTGCCATACGAAATTTTTAAGAATGAAATATATATAGCATGATAGAAAATATTCTGACAGCTTTCCTGTGTCAAATAATTGTGAAGTTCACAGTATAAAATATATAAAAGAGGTCTCCACTGTATTCCCCTCACCCTGGTCTTCTGCCTCCACTAACACCATAAACTCGTGGTTCTGGTCACTCTCCTGGAGGGGTTGCTGAAGAGAAAGCTCTCCCGTCGCACTGTTGATATGAAACTTGCCGTCATCACCACTGATGATGCTGTACTGCACCTTGCTGTTCCTGCCTATGTCTTGGTCCACTGCCTCTACCTGCAGAGACAAAGACAATAGTCTACAGTCAGGATTGTTCTTTAAATGTAAAACTATAAAATTTTGAAATAAATAAATAATATTATAATGATTAACTAAAAATATTCAACCCAAAGACTTTGTGTTTGTGGTTTTAATATCAGAACCAAGGCACACTAATTGTATAACAAGTTATATGATATATGGGAGGGGGAGGGGAGAGAGAGGGAATTATATATGAAAGGAAAGTTTTCAAATAATGTGTGTTTATGAGCTCTTAACTTCTTAACTAGTCTTGCCTTCAAAAATTTGTGACTGATGAAAAAACAACATAATTGTGCACACAAAATCAAACTTTTGGACTATTGTTCCAAACAGACACAGTAGGTAGTATACCAGAGACAATGGCAGTGAACCCAATAATAATCACATAAATACAACACACCATGAAAACATAACAGAAACAGGACTTTGGATCAGAAAAACATGCAAATAGCAGCCCAGACACAGTGAAGTTTTAAAAACATTGAAATCAAATCTGGCAACAAAACAATGCCATTAACAAGAAAAAAAAATCAACTTAAAGACTGTAATCTCCAATGATGTTTATGGTTTTAATAATCTCAAAATCAAGGCTCACTGACTGTATTGTATTAACTTTGAATAAGATCATATAAATCTTCAGGTAAACTTGACCACTGCCCAATAAAAATCTATAGAATTTCAACTAAAGGACCACACTGGTATAGAGAGAGATAAAGAAAGAGGCAGCTACCACTTTAACAAGAAAAGACAGAGAATGGTGACTCACTTCAACAATGTAAAATTAATTCCAATTTATCTGATTTGTGAGCTTTTATTACAGATTAATTTCATGAGCATGTTTGTTACTTCAGTGCTTTTATCGCATGATTTATGTGAGAAATGAATCTCCCACCTTCAACTCTTAAAAGGTTTGCTGCACAAAAAGCTCTGGCCATAATGAAATTATAATTTAGCAATTTAGGGGTCAGCGGGCCACTAGAAAGCGATTTGATGGAAGTAGTTTTTTGATTTATATGAAAAAGATTACAACCTCAAGAGAAATATTTCCATAAACTTTGTTAACAGTACATGCAGGTCCCTTTTATCACTGTATTCATTATCAGAAAGCACCATTTTGTATTGAGAGTCGGAAATAATGGTCTGACGTTCTTTCTTTAGGCAAGCTTGATTTTTATGGCTAGGTAAAAGAGTTCCGGGTAACAATTTACTCTGCCTCAGTATAAAACCCCATCATATGACTAAAAATGTGGCGTATTTCTCATTACTTAATCAATTCTAACTTAGCCCATCTCTGACCTTAACTAAAAAATTTATCAAAATCCATTGGTTATTTTTCTAGTTAGTCCGTTAAACTAACAATTCAACAGAGACAAAAACATAACCTCCTTGGCAAAGATAGAGTAATGTTAGTCAGAGAAGAATTTCATCAGCTGTGTTATGTTATAAGAATGAAGTAATGCTGATTATAGCATATTAAGTACTGTGGAATTTGGCATGGGGGGAATGGGGAGGGGGGATGGTGGTGTGAACAAGGGTGGAGATAGGGAAATTTCTCCCATTCTACTTACCTTCTTCACAGTAGTTCCTGGCAAGGCATCAATGGACACCACAGCATGGTACGGCTCATTCACAAACATGGGGGCGTTATCATTCATATCCAGGATGTTGACGTGCACGACTACATGTGCGACGCGTGGCCTGGGGTGACTGTCTTGCACCTCCACCACCACCTTGTGCACGTCCTGCTTCTCACGGTCAAACGGTTTGCCGGTGGTCCGCAGCACGCCTGAGGTACGTCCAATGGTGAACATGTCAGTGGGATTCAAGATGGAGAAGGTGAGCTGCTCGTTCAGTTGGTATCCCACAACTTGGACCATGGTCACTTGGTCCACAGTGGTCTTGTTCTCCATGGCCGAGGCATTGTACTGTTTCTGGGTGAACCTCAATCCACTGTCCTCTGTCTGTTTAATGTTTACTGTGACTGTGGTTCGTGTACTAAACTTTCCATCCGTGACATTAACCAACAGATCGTACCTGCTGCTCAGGTTGTTCTCGTCCCGTACTCTGATCATGCCCGTTAAAGGTTCGATGCTGAATTTATTCTCCTCGTCTCCGCCCGTGATGCTGTACTTCAGCTGACTAGATATCCCAGTATCTGGGTCAAATGCTCCTACGGTAACCACGGCTACATCCTGATGTGTGGGCAGCAGGACAGTGGCTTGGTAGGACCCCAGGTTAAATACTGGTGGGGAATCATTCACGTCAATGACTTTCACCTTGACCTTGGCTGCAACCTCAGCACTTAATTGTGGCGTACCCATATCCTTCACTTGAACCAAGAAGTCAAATTCGGTGATGTCCTCATGGTCCAGTTTCATGTTGGTACGTATAGCCCCAGTGTTAGGGTTGATATTAAAATACTTCTCAGCCTTTGGTGTATCTATGTAGTAAATCTTGAAGGCATTGAGACTAGAGGAGTCCCTGTCCAATGCCTTGATGACAAGTGGCAGGCTCTCATTGGTCAGCACCACGCTGTTGGCTTCAGCAGACTCGCTGATCTCTCCCACATACTGCTCCTGCAAGAACTCTGGTGCGTTGTCGTTGACGTCCAGAACATGTACGAAGACTGACGTCTGAGTATAGGCACCCACCATATTAGTGGCTCGCACAGTCACATTGAAGGAGCGGAACTCCTCTTGGTCATAATCAAACACGATGCGTGTACGAAGAACTCCAGAGTTTGGACTAATCTGGAAATACAATGAGTCATTCGCTCCCAAAATCTCATAAACCACTGAGGACCTGCTGCTGGCGGCCACCGTGGCGATGTATGTACCCACTGGACTGTTCTCCCGAATTTCTGCGGTGTATTCGTCCTGTTCAAACTTTGGCGGGGCGTTGTTGGAGATAGTGACATCTATATTGACGTTGGTCTGGGTGCTGTGACTGGGAATACCATTGTCTGTGGCCATGACACTGAGAGTGTACTTAGACTGCAGATCTCTGTCCAGCTGTTTAGACACTGTTATGATACCCAGCTTCTCATCTATAGAGAATGTATTCCCTATGTTACCTAGAAATATAACAGTAAGGAACTTATATTAAAAGCGCAATGATGTCTTTTTCATTCTAAATGCTTCTTTTTTAGAACATATCAGAGAGTGATAATTTTTTTTAAAAGGACGATTTATCCTCTGATCTTAGAATATGCAGCATTAACAAATTTATTCACATGGACAAAAACAGAGCATGTTGATCATTTACAAGATTTCTATTTGGAATTATGAATATTTTTACAAGTATAACACTGTTTATCACCTTATCAATATGTTTGTAATATACTTTATTCATATGCATTCATTTTTTGCTGCATTTTTAAATATCTAATCTAACAGCAGGCAACATTGGTCAAATTATCCCTACTAGGGCACCCTAATAAAGCAATGCATATATGGAATCCATAATTCTTAAACATTCTATAAAAAAAAATAAAAGTAGTCCCTATGGCACATAATTATCCCATACCTATAAATAAATAAGTAAATAAACAAATAAAAATTCAATCAAAAACGTCTCTAGCACTTCCGGCTTTTCAGTTTCACCAATTCCTCGTTTCCTAAGATTAGTGTAGCTCAAACACCAGCCTACAAAGCCTAGGTGTTATGACATGTTGATCTAAACTATTAACCCAAATCTGCCAACCCTCTCAGGTGTCCCTGCTACCTGTCCACAGTACCATGTTGTATCAGCCCCCGGGGAACACCGAGATGTGTTTTAATCCACCTCTGTATAACTTGCGCAGGTGTTGTTATGTGTTCAATAAATGGTTTAAAAGTGTGTTTAATAAATGATAACAGTGGCTGACAGGGAATAGTTCTGTTTCAAATTGTACCTGATTAAATTAACTCTGTACTATTCATGGACGTGTTTACAACTATCTACCATGTCCAACTCCCATGTCAAACAAAACTACACTATTAAAACACTCACTTTGAATGCATCTATCCCAAACATGTTACTATTTCAACAAGGACTTAAAGAAGGACGCTGAAAAGATTTTAGGTTAACCCTGAGGCTACCATGTCCTTGTTAACAGGTGTTGACCTCACCTGGCCACTAGTTTGACAGACATGGGGAGTACAGTGTTTTATAAACCTGTCACTGTTTTAAGTGTTATAGATAAGGACAGTGCTAGTGTATAACCTTAACATCAGAGAGAGAGAGAGAGAGAGAGAGAGAGAGAGAGAGAGAGAGAGAGAGAGAGAGAGAGAGAGACTATGAATCACGAGCATTAAACAAGGCGTAACATTGCTGTTACAAGGTTTCAGACAATCATATAATGTAAACAAGTCCATGGCATTTCCTAAATATGACAGCAAGTACATAATAATATATCACAATGATGATGAATGTAGAGAGCAATTTGTGTACTTTATAGTCTGTGGCACTTCAACTGTCTGTAATAGTTTATCATGACAATAACAAAACTCCAGAGATGACTTTAAGATGAGTCAAGCTGCTGTCAATGCCATGTTGAAAACACATTATTTTCTCATATAAGAACCTCTGTGCAAAAAATGTCTATTAACACCATTGTTATAACACTGCCAACACAAACTAGAGTCTATGGCTTTCAAACACCAAACAAAATGTTCTTACTATATTTATTTTCACATTTTCCATGCCAATAAATAAACCACGCTTTTAAAAAAAATCTCTTGCAATATTCTTCACTCCCCCTCCCCCTTGCCCTGGTGCCATATCAGTGCTAACAGGGGCCCCACCTTTACATGTACACCAAACTCATTAACAGCTATCTCACACAGACGCCTGAATTCACATGGAAATGAACAACGTCGCCTAATGTGGCTGATGTCGCAGACAGTGCCAAGGAAATATGGAGACACTGGATAAAGTCAGTGCTATAATTGTGTGTCTGCATATAAAGAAGACAGCACATGATTGCAGGCAATTACGACTTGAGAACTCTTGTGAAGTAGGGGACGTCATCTTACCTACAAACTGGGATACACGTGAAAAATTAGCCTTACACACAGACATTTCCACAGATTGACACCCACTTACGTGAGCTGTCATAGCCTCAATCTTCTTTCAAATCAATGTTTCCTAAATTATGTAGAAAGAAACTGTTTTATAGGAGAGGAAGGCTTAAAAAGTCACTGAGCATTTTGGACCAAATTATTTAAAGACATTCTTTTGTACATTGGTTTAAGAGGTACATTTTCTATAAGTTTGATCATGTTTAATCTTTAAATGATTAAATAATCCATCCAGACATGCATGAAAAATATATTAAGTGGAAGTGTGTAGAGGATTATACTTTGCTGTTTCTGTAAGGTTTGTCACCCCAGTACATAAGCACTGAGCAGTGTGCTAACTGGGTGGGGGAAAATTTATGTTTAGGATTTCAAGGTTAACAAATAATGTATGCCATCATGCAATACCACATAATATAATATGATGTTACATCTTTTTTTTTTTTTTTTTCAAAACCTTATTTGGTAATTTGGTACAAATTACATTCTAAGTTGTTGATTGCATTTAACAGACATCTTATTTTGATAATGCTAACAACTTCAATTACTTCTTTAACTAAAAAAATTCAATTTTTAAGAAGATGGCGCCTAAGAAAATCTGCAGTTTTCCTTATTATAGTTGGTCATGTCTGCCAAACAATGACATGGAGAAATACTAATGTAAGTCATCATGAAACAAAAATCTATATTTAGACTTGAAATCACAATAATCACTTGGGCGGCTTTGCTGGTACAAATTACAACCATTAACCAACGGATATTTTTATGTACATGCATGTTATTTTAATAAAATTTGACTAGTACTGTTACTTTATAATGGGATCATATCCTTTTATTAGAAATGTTCAGAGAACAAAAGACAAAGAAGTCTTTTAATAAATTGCATTAAAGAAACTCCCATACATTATATCTATTATTACACCCAGATGCCAAAATTAACTTTCCTCAAATATCTAATGAAGATACTTAATAGACCATTATCAAATACCAGCTTAGATGTCAATATTATGAGGTATGCCGGTCTTTATATCAAGGCATTTTGGTGACAAGTTGCCTTTTAGCACCAAATTACATGATGTCACCATGCTCGTAAAAAAAGAAACAAAAGCCCTGTCGCATTCCACCTAGATATGGCATGCTATAATTCAGGCTTTCAAGGTAATAAAAGCTTTGATTTCCCGCAAGGAGTACACTCTCTGTCTAGTTCCGCCTAGCGAATGCTCTTTTGTTATTCATTGTGCGAAGACACGTGTAACGCAGTGTCATGCTTTTAAAGCAGGTCCTCCCCAGGGGGCTAAACTTGATAGCTTGGCAGGTTTTAACAGGGCAGAAGACAGAGCTATTTTCTCATTAAAATTGATGATGAAGTGCTGGCATGAGATTATTGGCAGTTTTATGAAGCAACCGTTTTTTAAAATCAGTAAAGAATTTTGACACATCCAAGTCTCTTAATTGTGAGAGGTACCACAAACAAAAATATGTGTAAAAATAGTCCAAAAGATTGCTCATGCTTTGTGTAACACGAGATTTAGATTTCTATCAGCAATAGATGAATGTCAAATGTTAATAACATCCCTATACGATCCACTTCAAAAATAACTGATTTGTATCAGTGGCTGCCAGCAATATTCAATACACTGGCACAGAGCTCAAATGACACTCAAATCATAATACAACAAATACAGTGCATGTATCACAGTCCACTTGACAAATGTAAATTAATTCACTTAAGGCTCAATTGTTGGTGCCAACAAATAGATAAAAGAATAGCCCATTGTCAATTTTACAGGTTCCTCCGGCAAGAAGCATAACTTCGCCCCCCACCTTGCTTTGTCTGATAGCTGAACTGTTGCCTGTTTATGATGTGACTTAATAATGTGACTTTACATATATTCTGAAACATGGCCTTTTGCTGCATTTCAACAGTTGCTGAATGCTGACAATAAATTAGGAATTAATACCTAAAGGACAGGATACATAGGTTCAAAATGCAGTTGGTTTGACGTATAGCTCTGTGGGGAAAAAATCCTTAACTTTGACATTATCCTTCCCATCTTACAATTTGAAATGCTTAACTTCTTTAATTTCAACTCCATTAAAAAACCTGAAACTTCATAAAATCGTCCCTTCTTTCAATAAGAAATAGTAGTTTTATTTCAAAGCATTTCAAATTCCCACCCTATCGAAGTAGTTCAACAGTCAGAGCTTACCCCTGACAGTGTACAACAGGGGGCGCTGTTGCTATGTTTACCTGTAACAATGGTGTAATGAATCTCGGCATTCTCGCCCTTGTCTTTGTCCGTGGCCATCACCTGTACCACTGAAGTCCCAATGGCCGCCGTCTCAAACACACGCCCGTTGAAACTGCCGGACAAAAACTCTGGCGGGTGGTCGTTGTGGTCAAGCACGTCGATGACCACCCGTGTGAGGTTACGATGGGACATGGTGGACGTCGCCCCCTCCTCCCGGACCATGATGGTCAGTTTGTGCTGGGCAATGGATTCGCGGTCAAGTCTCTCTTTGGTGGAAATCACACCTGAGAAAAGAGGAAGAGTAAGAGAGTGTTAACAGGCATGCAATGGATTAACAATCCATAAAAGATGATAAGGAAAAGTAAATATACACATTGCCTGTGTGATATCTGGGTGGTATGTTATATAAAGATATCGGCTTAACTTGTCTTGCTCACGTTTTTTACCATCGTGAATTGTAAAAATTTCAACAACACTTCCATATTACAAAGTAATGAACTTAACGTCATAATCAAAGGACATAAGGATATTACAGGGGGTGGGGGGTGGGGGAGGTTGAAAACTTACCACTATGATCACCAATCTCAAACAACCTGGTGCTGCTCTTGTCTGCCGCGCTGTGGATGCTGAAGAACAACTGTTTGTTTTCGTCCTTGTCAGTGGCTGTGACGGTGATGACACTGGTGCCCACCGGCGCACTCTCTGACACCACCGCGGCGTAGTGACTCTCCGTGAACTGAGGTGTGTTATCGTTGACGTCCATCACTGTGATGTGAGCCTGCAATGAGACAATCTTATAATGAAATATTTGATACCTGGTAAGTACAATCACTTAGCCTTATTATCACTCCATACTTCTATCTACCATTGCCCACTTTTCAAAAACTCATTGGTATTCCTTTTAGCCATTTATTAACTTATTTACTAACATGTTAATTGATTCATTCATTTGTCTATCAATTTATTTTTCTTTCTTTGGTGGGGGGGGGCGCGCAATTAGGGGAGGGGGTGACAGAAGCAATCACAAGTTCATTCAGTGTAGAGCAATGCAGTATAGAATTAGAGATTAATTTTCTTTACATTATGTTTTTACATCAGCATAGCTTATCCATTACCATAAATAGGACATTGCACAAGGGGAAATTAGTTGCAAAAAAGCTGCCTTTTTACATCAAACAATATCCTCAAAAACATGAAAAACAGCATTTAGACTCCAATTCACATATAAGCTATACACAGTTTATCATTTTTTCAAACATTTCTTGCTCTCCTTTCTGATTGTTCAGTTGAATAAGTGCATTGAACACCTGTAAAATTTTCAAACAAATCCCTTAACCAATTAATAAAAAAATTTTTTACTATGCTGCTAGGTCATATATGATATGATGAAAAGAGAGAAATATGTGATATCTTACCCATGATGCAACAGTGTGCACTCCGTCTGTGACAGTAACAGTAAGGTTGTAGCTGGACCGGAGTTCTCTATCCAGTGGGTTGGCAATACCAATCTCACCACTCTCAACATCAATGAAAAACTGGTCTTCCGGGTCTCCACCTGCAAGTGAAAGACAACATTAAGGAGCAAATTCTACAATAGGAATCTTCATCAATTTTCATCATCACAGAATCAAGTGTGTTACTTATATAGTTCAGTTTCTGTACACTATTTTTCAAACATTTCAGTTTCGACTACTTGCAGGTGACATGGAGTCGGAGCCCAATGCCACCAGATGTCAGCACTTACTTGTTATATAAAACCATATCTTGTCTCCATCCCCGTCCTGAGCCTCTACCAAGCCGACCTGACTCCCCACAGGCTTGCTCTCACTGATGTAAAACTTGAAACCTTCGGAGCTAAACCTGGGTGCCGTAGGCGACTCAGTTGGTCTGCTTACAACGGAGACTTTTACCCACACTGTACTACTCTGCTGGGGGTTTCCGCCATCATTGGCTTTAATCTGGAATGATAAATTGTGGATAGCATCATTGGTGCCAACAAGAATTGTGTCAATTAAATGCATGATCTCGAAGCAATTACTTGATTATTTGGTCTCATGGAAATTACAATAAAGCTAGCCAGCTTTCTCACCAAATGCAACTTTGACTAACTTCATCTTATTTACAACTTGATATATATGAAATTATCTACTTGCTGTGTAGTTTTTTTACTCCTTTTTTTTGTATAGCAATACAGCAGTGTGAGATGTCTGTGTGCATTGCTGAAGTGCTATACAGAAAAAAAAAAAAAACAATTTCAAGAATCCTCTGTCATACCTGTATGTCATATGTTCCCACATCCAGACTCCTTGCCTTCAGGTACAACTCCCCTGTCTGTGGGTTGATATTAAACTTGAGATTCTCTTTCCCGTTCATGATAAAGTAATCAATCTGAGCATTGGCTCCCACGTCATTGTCAAAAGCCACCATCCTGAACAGTGGCACGTCCGTGCGGTCCGTCTCGAGGATCTGGATACGGATTGCCCTGTCCTGTCCTTTGAACACTGGCTTCTCATCGTTTTCGTCCTCCACGTTGACAACAATCCTGGTAATGGACATCAACTGAGGCGAGCCATTGTCAGAAATGAGGACCTGTGGGGAGAGAGAGAGAGAGAGAGAGAGAAATAAATAAATGAACTGAGATTAGGCAATAAAACACTACAGTTAATAGACTGAAATACAGGTGAGAGGGTTAGCTTCATGCTGGCTTCACCCTTCCTCTTATTTTTTATATAAAAATGTATTCTTTATTCATCTTGCAGTAAATTTGTCCCATTAATAAAGACAGTACCTATCTTGTGTTTTTATTTAGTTGTTTTCTATTCTTTTGTCTCTACTACCATTTCAATGATACCAGTTTCTCCTTACATCAATAGAAATTTCTTCCCTTCTCTTTTCTTATTCTAAATTCCCTCAATTCTACAAACATGTGATATCAACTCACTCTTAAAACATTTAAATTTCATGCCAAATACTCAGACAACATTTAAAACTGGTGAGAACACACGATACACCACACCCCACTGTCAACCTGTTCTTATCTGCTATCCCAAGAGGCCACTGATATCTGCCCCTTAAAAAAGTACAATGTATCTTTTTCCTTGCAATTATTTGATGAATTTAAAGCAAATGATTGGCTGATATTAGATCCTGTGAACTTCCTGTCAGATTTCAGTCAAGGGCAGCCATCGTGTCCTGATGTCCTACATCACTGACAGGTGAAAATATAACCCTTCCTTGACTACTGCACCCGGTTCACAGGTAAATCAGTGATGGGATATTAAATAAATAAATAAATAAATAAATAAATAAGTAAAGAAAGAAAGAAAGAACAAAAATTATTCACTGAATGAGCATGAACACGTATTTATTTTAGAAATATATGATTTTTTTAAACATCCAAGCCTTTGAAGGTAAAAATTTAAAGAACTGCTTTTATTGTTTATTACAATCATTTATCAGCTCTATCAAAATGACAAAATCACATAAACATCCTCTGAGGGGTTTTGACCCCGGATGACCCAAAGTGACCTGTCCAGTTACATTAATGATGTCCCAATGTACTTAAAAACACACTAATGGAAAAAAATAGCTGGGAAATGAATAAAACTGCCAAAATTAGTCTTTACTAAAGTAAAACAGAAATAGAGGCTTGTCTTTGATCTTAGGAACATTACTTCAATTTTCCAAAAGCATTGTAATATTGGGATTTTTTCTATTACGCAGCAAGCTTTAAGTTATTTTATTTTTTTTTTAAACAGTTTTTGAATGAATATCTGGTAGATGTCAAATTTGGAGATTTTATGCCCATTGGCATTGTTTAGACTGTCTAGACTTCAATGTTCTTTTCTGTCACAGTGTTGATGTTGAGCCCAAATTCATCATCATTAAACGAAGAAAGTGTCTGAATTCACTGTGCCATTATAAACTGAATCAATATACACACACACACAGGGACTTCATGAATCACACTGGCGTATGGCACATATATCACTTTGAGTCTTTTTAATGGGTCATAAATATCGAGACTGATTCCACTGGCATAAAGTTACCACATTAAAAACCTTCCCTTGATGCATATTTCCAGGTTCCTGATAACTGATTTAATAACTTCGATCCCAAGTAGACGAGTTATCAACCCCATAATGCACCATCCGTCACTGCCCAGAACCCGGTATTGCATGCCATTTCAAGAAACTTTCCTAATGTTGCTCAAAGGCACAAAAATATATCTCCATCCAGCTGTCATTTTCATCTCTAATAAATTCTTCTAATGAGGGCTTCTCTCGGTTCTCTTAAAAGGTCAGATCTTATATTCTTTCACCGTTTATTCTACTGGGCTCAATTACTGTTAGAATACTTACTGAGACTTAAAAATATTGCTGCAGTCTGCCACTTTAGGTTGTTTCTATTTTATTTTAGGAGTGAAAAACAGACAAACGCATTATGAACAGTGGCAAATGAGGCTCACGTCTGTCTTTTAGTGTTCTTTTATTTTATTTTTATCTCCTCCAGCTGAAAATACCTTGAATTGATCTGACAGGTGCCTGTTGGTGTAACTGATGAATGGGTTTCTTCATCAACATGCAAGGCTTGGTTTCCTTACAAGTTTACCTCTGTTCACCCTGTACGAGGTATCAACTTTGTGTTTCATGTTGAGAACAAATGTGGTTTCCTCCTAAGTACAAGCAAACAGACAGTGGTCTTGTCACTTTGTATAGCTACTCACTTACTTCAAAGAGATAGAGGCCACAGCCCTCAGACCCAGGTAAAAAAAACAGCGATACTTAATTGTCACTACACACAATGCATACCGATATAATAACCCCACCCAACATAAAGATGACACGAAGCTCTGGCAAGTACTTACAATGCTGAATGAAGAAGATACTGGAAGTTGTTTAAAATTGTGTGCATGCGTCTGCATGCAAATATCCTCATTTCAATGTTTTGCACTGTAATTGTGACCTCTTCATCTGACCACATAATTCAAAAATTAATTACATTATCCCCACTTAAATTTAACTGATTTAAAGTAAGCCAGTTTCTGACCCTTTCGGAAAATTTTACCAAAACCTATCACAAACTTTTTCATTTAGACAGTTTACCAGAATACCAATGAAGGCAATAACATACACCTCCATGGCGTAGGCAACAAAGCAGCGTCTGTGTGTTAGAACACACTACTGAGCCCCAGTGGCAGTGGTGTGCGTGTGGCACACACACAAGGTTATATCCTGATTATTTCTTCCTCCATAACATCAAAGAAGTCACTTGGCAGAGTTTGACACTGATATGGCTGTGATAGGTGCTAGTTGTGTGATAACACTTGGGCTACTGATATACAATTATACAGAGCACAGTATGGATTTCCCTGTAGCTGTAAGCAGTGTAATAAAATAACTTCTTTTTTTGGTGAATAAGCACGACATCACACCATCATCTTCTCTTATGATGTATTATTTGTTTATCATTATTGCTGCTATTATTGCTTTCACTTTATTTTCTTGGGGGGTGGGGGGGTGGCATGTGACTCACCTCCAGAATGTGCTGGTCCTGTGCTTCCCTGTCCAACTTCCTGTTGGTGGTCGTGATGAGACCTGCAAGATAAAGAACACTTAGGTCACTTCAAAATTAAACAGCTTATTTATTTTTTTTTTTTTCATTTATTTCATTTCATTCCTGTAATCCATATTATTTGGACCCAAACTTAACACACACACACACACACACACAGACACAGAGCATGTGTATTTTATTAACCAGACAGTGTATTGATCACTATGCCATCAACAACATCAGATATATGTCACATNACACACAGCATGTGTATTTTATTAACCAGACAGTGTATTGATCACTATGCCATCAACAACATCAGATATATGTCACATCAGTGTGTGTTAAACTCTCCTATCTGGACAGCCATTTTTTCTCCCAACATGTAATTTCTTTCATCTCAATTGCTTGAGTTTTCCCAGTTGTCTCATAAAGAGCAAAAGAGTAAAAACACCATCACTTCAACTTGACAGAACAATGTAGACATCAACACAGCTGCTATGAAGACTACTCTTGATGAAAAAAAAAATGTCTACATTGCTCCTCGTTACAGTTTTCCCATTTTTTTCTTAACCTTACTTGTTTATATTGGGATTCAACTAAAAAACAGTGTTTGTATTGTCAGTTTCTAAATTTCTCCTATATGAAAGTCTTGTGTCAGTTTGTGATTTGTGTTATTATGCTGCATGTGTAGGACGTCTGCAGCCAACAGGTGTCCCTCCCGTCCCTCTCTCCGCCAACTCAGAATGACGTGGGTGTCCCTCTTCAAACATCTAAAAACAACCTCTCTAGTTGAACCAGCTCTAAATATTTAGAAATACATTCCTAGTGCACAAAGACATTAACAGATTTAGCATTCCTTTTTTTTTCTTTTTTCCCCAAAGACTGAATGAGAGTCTGAATACAAGATTAATTTGTATTAGGTCTAATTTGTGAAAAGACGGTGGTAGGCAACTTCCTTCAGATTAATACCTGAGAACTAAAGATTTCAAATATCAGTGAGGTCAAAGTTACCCTACATTTGCACCACAGGGATTATATTTTCAAAGAAAGATGTGCATCACTTCACTTGTTCACCCTGAGTGAAAGATCTCTGAACACCTTGAACCCAAATTTCGTGTCTTCTGCCCAGTCATGATCCCTGTCTCAGGTTATGTCTGCGCCGTGACAAACAGAATACGAACGCATGACAAACAGAATGCAAACTTGTTTCAAAGGGATGAAATTAAATTTCAGTTCTGCTCTTTTCCAAATTCAAGCCTGGCTTTTTAAGTTTGACGTGTGTCAAGTTTTGCTATTCTTTGATCTTCAAACCAGTGAAGAAAGGTTATTTCTGTGGTTGAAACTTCAGTGCAAATAAATTTGTCACGCACTCCTCCGTAACAAATTGAGACATTTAACAAAGGGAGATGAAAAAATATATACTTTTATGTCGTTTGTTAAAACATTTTGAGGCTGTAATTACATCCCTACATATCTGGGAATATTTATCCCATTACGTCTCTTCAAAGCTACCACTTCTTAAATGTCACAAATGGATAGGTATAGACATCATTCGTTCTCCAAATTCCTTTCATCAAACTATCATATGTCATGTCAATAAAATATTCCTTATTCCACCAGTGAGAACAACCAAGGCATGAAATGTAATTGAAAAACCAACTCGACACAAAACAGAACTGTAAAATCTTCAATCAGTTTAAAAAGAACCCAAACCTGCCAGTATTAATTACACACAACAAAGCTGATAGCAAGAACAAATGCTGATAAATGGGTCTAATGCACTAGCACAGCACTGATAAGGTCTTAGTTGTGTTTATAAAATATTACTCTAATCAACTCGCAATCACCCACTCACTGGCTGTGATAACATGTTTATTGACCAACAACACTTTTAAACCATCACCAAAAAAACAAACCGAGTAACCTCCTCAGACAGTGAAAACCATAAAGAGACAAATTCCTTCAATTTAATGTAGAAAAATAATTGAAAATAAAGGCATGTCTGTTGTCTGTGTTGAGAGACATGTCGTGTGGGTTACCACACATTTGGGGCGAGAGGGTGCATCTCAACCATGGTTAACATTTGCACCAATCTAGACATTGAGCCCTACGGCAAAACAGAGAGAAAGAGAGAGAGTGCAAGGCAGAGCTGGCCTAACAGTGCTTCATTGTGCTTATCAGGTTTGATGAGTTACATTTTTTTTTCTTTTCATACTGCTCAGGAAAAGTTAATGTTATGTTCTTCTTTTAACTGGAAGAAACATGTTAAGACATACGTTGTGGAAATTTCAAAATTTCATTCAGTACTTGTTAATTTTTATTGAACACATAATCACCCTAAATCCTGCTGGTTTCAGATACCTAACTTCTAGTATCAGTTTATCAGGTCACGAAAGAGGAATCTCTACCATGACAAAACAACCATTGTCTCCAATTCCTATCAGCATCAAACAACTTTCTGTGTCTTTGCCTACCTTCGGCAGTGACACAGCCTCTCTGCTGCGATTGTATCACCTCCTGTGTCAATAGCAGCTTCATATTTCTGATGACACAGGTTATCAGAGGCATTTTTCTGTGGATGACATAAATAACAGGAATTATTTTATGATATATTACAACCCTGTTGAAAAGGGCAGTGGAACATGAAACACTTAAAGCACTTCAATGAAAACTTCTACAATTTTACTTGAGAATTGTATCTTTCTGTTGACCTTTTAGGGGGGACTACTTTTTTCTCTTCTGCATTTCTGAGCAATTCTGTGTGCATGCCGCACTCCTCCGGCCCGTCTAGGTAAACATGACTTCTAGTGTCACACAGTTCAAGGCGATAAAAAAGTGCAGATTCAGCGGGCCTGTGGGGTACTTGAGATTACGCCAGCGCCAGTCTATCACAAAATCTGCTCTGCTAGTTCATTCATTTTATTCCTTTTGCATTCCCATGCGACCTCTGCCATTGTGGGATATTAACTGCATCTTTTCTTCACACTGAAAAGATGTATGCTACAACATTCTTTCTAACTGAATTCATTCCAAAAATGGTGGTGCCTTTAAAATCCAAATTTAATCTAAATCCCCGCAGACAGCAATTGGAGCAGGTCAAAATTATTCTAGTTACATTATTCAGTACAGGTTAATAATCTGATTATGGAACACTGTCAACATAAAACACATTAATCCTTCCTCATACTGATAGGTTTAGATAATATTAAACAGTCCAGTCACATAACTCCTTTCCAAAATAAAATTATCTTGAAGGATCGGTAACAGGAACCAGACAAATTCATCGAGTCAATTGAGGTGGAATTAACATCATAACCACTGGCAGACTTTGAAAGCCTCAAAACAACAAAATGCAACCCTAATTTACCAACAAAAAAACTTCAAATTCATTGTTCCCAGGTTTCCTCCCCTGAGGACTTCCCAGCAACATAAGACTTTATTAAAATAATACGTTGTAATGGTGGTACAAACTTCATGGAGGATGTTTTGTTGGCATAGCGGTGCTTTCTCAGTCTAAGTGGCAAGCTTTGTACTTGCAGGTATAAGCAATCACTTCAACATGGCTACACTGAGCAGTTGTCCTCTCATAAGAGAGGGTAAATTACGCCTCCTCGGCATTGGGTCATTTTATATCGACCTCCTCAGAGCCACGATACCCACAGTACAAACTCCTTAACTTCCCTTGTGTCCCTCTCTAAAGGGTATTCAGAAGCATGGCTCTATTAAATCTCTAAATACAAATGTAACCACCAAACATAATCAAAAAATCATTGGGAGGTGAAGAATAGAACCAATTAAGAAGGTAACAGACAAAACAACAAATGGTGACTCAATGTACTTACAAAATGATTTTTTTTTTCTGTAAAATAACCAACAAGGTCTTGGGTGGCCAATATACCCTGGGGAGTGTCACCTAACCACATCCAGGGTCCAAAATTTGGCTGCCAAACCGTAAAATGTTTATAACAGTCTCCAACAAAAGAGGGACCAATTTTTTTTCATCAGGCCATTATTTATCTTCAGGACACATAATCTCAAATTTGGCCATTCCATGAGAAATGTCACCTGAACTTTTAGACCAAACAACCTTTGTTTCCTTCTTCGTTTGTCCCACTGGTAATGGCCAAGCTATGTTGTTTGTTGTGATGTTTGTCCGTAGAGGGGATGGCACTTTCAGCTCTAAAAGGGGGTCCATGATCCCAAAGTTTGAGACTCTTGGTGTATTTGTTTTCTTGTTTGAGCTTTGAGTGCAGGAGCTGGAGGAAGAGTGGAGAGTTCCAAGATAAGCCGACCCACTGTCTGTACCACATACCACACTGAACAGAGATAGCTCAATTTGGTCAACAAAGACGCGAGGGAGACTAGTCAAATATGATAAAATTCTAGTTCTGATAATACAAAGATATGACAGTTGAACACCTGTGGCTTGTTTTGACTTGATTATTGGTGTAACAATCTCTGCAAAACCATTCACTACTTAATTTATTTAATTTTTTTTATGCTAAGATCCGAGCAAAATTTGTCTTCAACATTTTTCTGAAAACACACAAACTGCTTTAAGAAACTCAGAGTTAACATTTTTTTCCTCAAAATAAATGCAAAAGCCTATAGCCTATATATGGCAAGCCACCCACTGTGAAAGCAGTGTATTAGTGACAGCTAACTTATCACTGAGACAGCAGCCCCATAAGGTGGTTGATCACAGGTCACAGGCTACATGATGACAGCCTGGAGTAGACCAACTTAACCTTGGGCAATACCTGGTCATGGCGTCGCCATATTATATCTTAACTCCGCAAATTACTCAGCAGATGTCACTCTAAGGGGCAATGTTCTAGATTGATGGTGATGCTTTTAAAACTGGTAGCTGTGATCTCGAAGTGATTTTTTTCTTTTTTTTAACGAAAATGTGTCAGATTGTCCAAATGCAATTTTTGGGAGACTGAATGTATAAATTGTTGTGTTCTATGTCTTCCTGTTTTCAGACTGATACTTCCTTCTTAGTCACTTTAAAACTGGTAGCTGTGATCTCAAAGTG